GGTCTTATCAGTGATAAAACACTTGCGCTATCCTCACATACCTACGGTGATTTTCCCTTCTTGTGTGGGTACGTCTTTAACTTTGTTATAGCGTCCTCTGCTGATGGTCAATACTTCTCAAACTGCATGTTTGTCAGATATTTCCCAAGATGTCCTGGACAGATGTTACTTGTATTTAAAACTGTGTAATAAAATGAAAATGGATGATTGCACCTCATTAAATTTGTATTTGAAGCATTGGACATGGTGGCCTTTACATCCAGGAACAGATTATCTAAAAGTCTCTCCAGCCAAGCCACCATCACCTTGTAGGTAAACAGAGAGCCCAGAGGAAGAGAGGACCTTACTATCAACAACTGGGAAAAAGCTGAATAAGGATGAGCATGGACAAAGCACTGAGCTATAAAAACTACTCAACAGTGCGGGGGAGTACTCGGCTACCCCACTGATTGTTGGTTTGACACAAGGGTAGTGAAGTTGTTACACCAAAAGTCACAAATATAACTGCTTAACAAAACTAAAGTTTAAAACTGATACATAGATCATTACACACATACACGCTCGATACCATCCATCCAGCTGTGTCCGACCTGCACTTTCCTACATGCCTAACAGCAAACATGATGATGCATATGCCATCATTTCTGTCTATGAAATGCATCAGAGACAGTGTAGTCACCAAATGAACCCAATGCAGCTACTTCAACTCAGACGAAATGTCCAGTCTAACTCCTTTCAAATAAAGACAAACTATGGGCTTGATGTTTGACCAGGGATAATGTATTGTATATATACATAGTAGACAGAGGAGTCACCTCCTGTCCGGCTTCCCTGTGTTAGCTTTCGCAAACATTCTCAGTTCGACTTTTTCTCTTGACTCAACAGATGGGTCGGAGGTCTGGTTGAGCCCCAGAGATTCATAAACTTTGTATGTGAAAGACAGTGAGAGAGTTTGTACGTGAGGGCACAGATAATCGTGAAAGATGGTGAACATGACTCAGAATGAAGAGGAGAATCTGGGTGATGCTATCTGGAACAAAACCAGACACAAAGACAGCATATGTGTGAGCAACCACGTGTTATCTTCGGTCTCCCGTTCAGCTTTTCCATCCTTTCTTCTCCACAGTGTTGGCATAGCTGTAGCACAGCTAAGCCTGATCCTATCCTCATACTGGAGGCATCAAAAGAATTGAAAAGTTTGTAACACAGTTGTATTCATTAAAGCTTGTCAAATAAGGTCACATCCCACCTGACACTGTGAAGCATCAAAGTCTCAGAAATGGCCAAAAGGCTTCTGCTACAATATATATATATATATATATATGTATATATAACAGGGAACATGACAAGAAAACCAGAAGGAAGGAAAAGAAAAGGAGATACCAGCCAAGGGAAAGACTTGGCGAAGAGAAGATGAAAGCTTTGAGTTCAAACCAACTGCCATTTTGCCCTCAAATCTCCTGTTGCCATGGTGATTAAACTGACCATGTGCTGTCCCCTGAGAGTCTCCCTCCCTCTCTCACACACATGCACTACCACACACACACACACAGAAAGAGGGGACAGCACACCAGGACAGGTAGATGAACAGCACAGGTGTGGTAGATAAAGGATGACAAAACCTTTAATCCTATCCGAGGAATACTTCATGTTGCGTTAGCCGATCATTAATGTTGTTAAACAGTTAATCATGCCAAGTTTACATGTATCAAACTCGGATGGCCTGGAGCATCATCAGATGGACGTACATGAGCTGTGTGTTTTTCTATTAGTTTTTAATGCTTGTTGTTCTGCTTTTCATGATACTGAGTAGGATTATAGACTATAAAGGACAGTGCTGTAAAAATCTGGATCAGATGAAGGTTCAACCTGCCAAGAACTCCTTTAATTTGCTCACATGTAAAATAGAGGTGTCATATGTGGTATCATAAATAAAAATGTAATTGTTCTTTTTTGCGCTTGCATTTTCTGCTTAATCATTTGCCAAAAAGGCAGAATACAATAAACAAAGATTTAGATTTTAACTCTTTATTGATTGAACTCCAGCTCAGGTTAACCCAGTGGTTTTAATTTCCTGTTTCTAGATATAGTGATATAGTGTATGCATGTGAGAGGTGCTGGTGATTTCAATAGGAAGGAAGAACATTTATGAATATCAGTGTTGATTTTTTAAGAAATAACTCATCTAATAACAGTCACTTTTCATTTTGTTATGCTGATTTAATAAACACATTCTTTCCCATTTAGCGTCACAAACCTACCTATTGTGCATGTGACATGTGCTGAATCACATGTGCATATATGTTAGTGTGACTAAAAAGGAATAAAGACTTGTATGATGTAAACAGTCCCTCTCTCTCTCTCCACAGCTGTATCGTTTATGAGACACAGCGCGTCAGCATTTGGATTCGCCGTAAGTTCCCGCCCCTTTCTTCTCTCTATTTGCATCGATCAATTAGTCATAACTTGGGTGCTAGTGATTTATTAATGAATCCCAGTACCAAAGCACTATTGGTCCTTTTGTCTCCAAGGTAACAGGGCAGAGAAGGGACTGGAGACTGGCGCTGTGGTTGGATGTCAAAATGCTTCTTGTGTTTGCTAAACAGATCTCCACTAGAACACAGAGGAAATCTTATTAGGAGGAAATCACAGAGAATTATCATAAAAATATGACGTAATGGCAGTGAAGGTGAAAATTACAATATCCACACCCGGGCCCAGTGAGGGAGATGTGACTAGCCTAATGTGATTAAAATATTATAACCCATAATCTGCAGAGCTAGCTATCTCTTCCTTAAAGATTGGATTTTAATTAGCAGTTTAATTGCTTGGCTGCAGATCACAGTTTGAAAACAGAAGCACGAAGAAAATAAGAGGATGTGCCCCAATGCAAAGAGGTTAGATCATAGCAGCTTATCATTGATAGCTCTGTGAGACTTTGAGTCATCCTTTTCTTACTTTTTACATTTTATGATTTGAAAATTAACTAATAACGATTTTATTTTGTGATCCGGCTTCAGGGAGAGAAGTTTTTCTCTGAGAAGTCCTGAATCCAACATGAAGCTGCTGTTGTCGCGTTAATTATGTTTATGGCTTTGGTTTTCCTGCCAAACATCAACACTACATCTTTGTGGTGCAACAGACTTGAAAGTGGTTCCTGCAGTTTTTACACTATAAGCCTTAATGAGACCCTTAAATCCTTACATCCACTCATCCCTATTCATACATAACCTGAGTCAGTTCATGTGCCCGCTGAAATTCTGTTGTGCTGAAATAAATGCGTTATTCTCCTCCACGGGATTTCAGAATGAAGTGGTTTTATTTTCAGCACAAATAAGTTATTTAAAGCTGTCTACACGTCTTACTGGACATCTGATCATTTAAAGAGTCGTGGTATAGGTCCAATGGATAATTTTGACCTTCCTCCCTTCTCTCTCATTAATTACTTGCTTCTCGTTTCTGTAGTTTGATGCCACGCTGGACGTCATGTCATCAGCCATCGTCCTGTGGCGCTACAGCAATGCAGCAGCTGTGCACTCTGCACACAGAGAGTATATGTGAGTACAAAACTTTATCTTTTGATCAATGATACAAGGGTGGAATCATAAACAACTCTCACACCACAGGTGTTGTATGTTTTATTTATTTGTTCATTCATCTTTACTCTTTGGCTTCTTTTACCCATGAATCCCACCTCTGCTGTGAAAGGACTTCACCCATTCCCCTGCAATCCAGGCATTTCATGCATATGATTTTATCTTTCTGTAGTAAATTACATTTAAAAAATGATGGGATCCTATGTAATATATAAATAAAAATAGAGTGTAGTGATTTCATATTCTATTTACAATAAAACATAGAAAATATATCATCAATCATGTTTAAAGTGAGAAATCTTACTATTTCATAAAAAATATGTTTATTAGCTCATTTTGAATTTGATGCCAGCAACTCAAAGTTAGCATTGGGGAACAAAAGGCAGGAAAAGTAAGTTGTGCTATAAAGAAACAGATGGACGAACTAATGAGGTTAATTGGCATCCGGTCAGTAACATGATATAAAAAGAACGTCTTAGAGAGGCAGAGGTTATGAGAGGTAAAGATGGGCAGAGGTTCATTAAACTGCAAATAAACTACATGTGCAAATAGTGGAATAATAATGTTCCTCAACAGAAAATTATGAAGACTATAAATATCATCTGCAGTACATAATCATCACAAGATTCAGAATATCAGAATAAATATCTGTGTGAATGGGACAAGGCTGAAAATCAATATTTCCTCTGATCTTTGGGCCCTTGGGCAGCACTGCAATAACATCAGGCGTTGTTCTTCAATGGAAACCGTGTGGACTCAGGAGCACACTGTGCCATTCACAAATGCAGGTTAAAGCTCCATCATGGAGAGAAGGAGCCACACATAAAGAGGATTTGGAAAGGCAGCTGTCTGCTCTGGACCAAAGTTCAGTCAAAATGGAAAAGTGTTCAGAGGTCCAAACAAAATCCAAAGTGGAAATTATTTTTGGAAAACATGCATGCACATCTGGAAAGGCAGATGTGCGTTTTGCACATCTGCAGGACACCAGCCCTTGAGCCCTGGAGTTCCCCCAGCCCTGTTTTAGAGGAACATGTCCTCCCATGAAGATGACATTTTTCCAGATGAGACCATATTTCAGCAAGACAATACTAAACTGTTCGGGTGTCCGGGTCCTGAACTGGCCTGCCTGCAGTCTGGACCTGGATCAGCTGAGAACATCTGGAACATCATGACACAGAAAAATATGACGAAGAAGACTCAGGACGGCTGAGCGAATCTCAGTTCGCAGACGTTTATACTGTTCTTCAAAGAAGAAGGGACACTTGTTGCTCCATCAAGTTCAAAATGACCTTGTTTTTTTCCTAAAAGTGGACCATTTTCTCAGTGTCTTATTTGATATGTTTTCTATGTTTTATTGTGAATACGATTTGGGTTTCTGAGATTTGCAAATTGTTGCAGTCTGTTTCTGATTTGGATTTTATGTGGATTTTTAAATGTTTTTTTTATACTTGACATTTTTAAAATCCCCTAGTTCCAGTTGAGAGAATATTGCCATGATAGCTTCAATTTAATCTTCCCTTTGAAGGTCTAAATAATTTTCCCGTTAGGCTCTTGCTCATGTTCAGTATACCCAGATAGATTAAACAATTTCAGAAAATGTACTTCTTAAATTGCAGGTTGGAGAGAAGTGTGTCCTTAATGATGAGCCATTAACTGTGTGTCGTTACTGTAAATGTGTCACTGCTACACGTGCGTTAATCCACCAGGTTTTAGGGCTGCTGTGGCTTAGCTGAATGAATCAATTAACTGTCAGGCTGTATGGAGCCCTGTTTGTCTTGCAAGAACACCTCTGTGTAGCTCAGAGGTGTTACAGATAATGAAAGACCGAGCTGCCCCTCCACTGTCCATTAACTCACACAGAGTCTCTCACATGCACACGCGCGATCTTTTTCTCTGTTAGTGCTGTCAGCTGGATGCAGAGACACACACAAACCACAAAACACCCAATTTATATTATATTAATGTTCTTTCTGTAGAAAATGAAAGTGTACTGTTGGAAAAGTAGAAAAAAGCGTGAGCATATCATTGCAAATGAGGCAAGATGTTTTACTTCCTGGAGATTGGTTCATGTAAAAGATGCAAGGATCGGCTTACTACTGCTGATAGTACCACTGAGGTCATCAGTCTATTCCCACCTTTATGGACTAGCTTCTAGACAGGTTTAGTGGCCTCAGGATCACCTCTCAGATTTTTGAGGTTCTTCATCAGGCACCTCCCAATATGATTCAACATAGGGACAACTTGCTGCCCTGGGTTTCTCAGGGTCAGTGGTGGTCCTAGCCTGTTTGGCGCCCTGGGCACTCCCTCTGGCACCCCTGCAATAGTTACACCCTTTTTTACACATGCTCTTTTCTACTGTGTAATATTCTTGTCAATTTTCTTGATATTTATTTAAAATCCCCTCTGTTAATCCTTGATATTTATAATTGACTGATCTGATTAGTGCTATTTCTTAAATGTGTAAAATCTGTAACATAATGTATTGTTTGGAGTTTAGTTTGTTTAGTTTGGAAGCAGCAGGCCCCCTTCAGACGGGTTGTGTATGAGACTTTAAATCATCAAACTGTAAATTATA